CCCTCAGCAGTGTGTGTCTGTCAATCCATCTGTTCTGCTCCCTACTCTGTCTGGTGAATCCTCTCACCCCCTGCACCTCTGGCCTGCGCCCCACTTCTCGTATGCATAAATAAATCTTTTAAAAATATATAATTGACATGTAACATTGTCAAATTTGGGGTGTATTATGTGGTTTTGGATGCAGTTGCATACTGTAATGTGACTCAAGTCACATCATTCTGGTTTCTGTTTGGTGCTGAGAATGCTTTGAGTGTACTTTCTAAGCCAAGTTCAAGTCTATGATGCACATTTGTCGTTAGTCACTGTGCTGTGTGTGAAATATCCAGATGCAAGATCTTTAGCTGTTGGTGTGGGATCTGTGTTTTGAAGGAGTCAGGCTTGGAGGGGCATCATTTTCTAAAGTCCCTGCCTCAGCACTGACTGGCCATCAAGTGGGGGCCCTCCACCGCGTGACAGAGCCACCAGGTGGCTTTCCGGGAACTCCTCGTCTGAGCTGTTCCCTAACACTACCCTGACCGCCACAGACGAGCCCACCCTCACCAGCAGAAAGCAGACTCAGATGTTGGTCCCACTGCTGCTCCCAGCAGACCGGCCCCTTCCACGTGGCTCTTGAGACATCTGGCTCAGAAGATCAGCTGGGAAAACCATGCATACAGAACATTTTCATTTTTCGTCTTCAGATTTCCAGGCCACATTACTTTAGCCAGAGATAAAACAATTTGCAAAAAATTAATGGGAGAGCCCCCCCCTGAAAACAGCGCAAATGTATATCCAAGAAAATGAGGCAGAGATCAGAAAGGACTTGCCTAATTTAGGAATATTCTGTAAGACACAGAAAGGCTCTTTCGTTGCTAAGAACTACTAGGACCACATCAGGTTTCTGCCTAATCTCTCTCCCTAGGACACCTGCTGTTATTGAAATGTAAGTGACAAATTATTACAGTTGAAACTGACCCCGGGGGGAAATGTGAGCTCAACCCCAATATTCTTTCACAGAGACCTAGAAACAGAAGCAGAACCCTCTACCCCAGGCTGTGGGGCCGGGGGTGGGGGGGCGGAGCCAGGCCCGGCTGCCCCCTCAAATCACTTCAGCTCCCCATTGTCTGGGATTTTTAAACAGCGGTGACTTGGAAAGTCTGCATGACCCTACATTAAATGAATTATGTGGTATGTGCATTACATCTCAGTAAACCCAGAGAAATTAAAATCCTGTTAACAGGGGCTCCTTAGAGGAAAGAAAAGTTCACCATGCAAGCATTTTCCTTTTGGGTGAGATGTGATCTAGGGGCAGTGAAAGTGGGGGGTGGGGGGGGTTGGGGAGGTGAAGTCAGAAAAAGGAGCAAAGTCACTCAGGGGTTCCTGGGAACAAGGGCAGCTGCTGGTGGCACAGATGCTCTAGGAGAAATGGATGCATCCCTGCATCTCAGGAAAGTGCAGCAGAGAAGTTTATCCCTAGGCCCGAGTCGCTCCCACTGCCCAAGAGCAGCAACACTCCCTCCCGGCGTCACCAGGCATCTGCTGTGGGTCCCACCAGCACTGCGCAGGAGGGTGCTGTTTACCCAGGCCAGCAATTAAGCGTGTACCCCTTGCCCTGATCCCAACGAGGGGGTACAAGTCAGGAATCAGGTTGGAGCCGATCTGTTCCTGTGAAGCCGTGCTGTGAATAAAAAAAATGCCTTACAGAGGCCCTCTCTGGTGTTAGGACACAGCACTCCAAGTTGGCCGCAGCCGCTTCAGTGTGAGTTCGATCCCCCACTCTGGAGGTGACCCACACGGCACTGCAGACCTCTCCTGTCTTGCCTACCGCTCCCCTCAGCAGTGTATTTCGTCAGTCTGCAGGTTTTGCTCCCCACTCTGTCTCTGGTGAATCCTCTCAACACCCCTGCACCTCTGGTCTGTACCCCAGTTCTGTATGCATAAATAATCTTTTAAAAAATGCATTGTAGAAAAACACTGATTCAGAAAGATACCTGCACTCCCATGTTTATTGCTGCTTTATTCACAATTGGAAAGACATGGAAATAGCCCAAATGCTCAAAAATGGATGACTGGATTAAAAAGATGTGGTACATACACACAATGGAATATTACTCAGCAACCAAAGAAAAAAAAAAAAAAAA